ATCTTTAAGGGAAAAATTTTAAAGCTGTATCAAAGGAGAATTGGGGAAAGGGAAGGCTAATTTTCTGAGATCCAGGAATCCTGTGTTCCATGCTGCCTCTGCTGCTAGCTTAGAAAATATCAGTGTTTCTGGGCTTCATATTCATCCCCAAATGGAGAATGATAATGTCAACTTGTGATCGACTATTCAAAGGATGTGATAAACATAAATGCAGTATTAAAGCTTTGTGAATTCTTCACAGAAAATAAATGCAATGTAAACCCAGCAATGCCATGATTAAAACATGCTTTATCTTCTCTATATTTCTAGACATAACGGTTATTTACATAATCCTTCCAGTACCTAGAAGAGCTTATGCCCACATCATTTCACTTACATCGATTGCTCTATAGAACCCACAGATACCTGTACTTGGATTTCTTGAGTAATAACCACTGCAGCTAATTATAACTTTTTGAGAAAGAAATTTTAAAAACAGTGTGTTCCTCAAATGGGCTACATTTAAAATTCAGTGAATGAAATTTGACAAAAATCCATTAAATTAAGTCAGGGTTATCCAATATTGTATTAGAAAACCTCATCAGTATAATAAAGTAAGAAAAAGAAATAAAGATGTTTGGAATTTCAGATGGTAGGATTGTATCTATAGAAAATCCAAACAAATGTATAACTAAATTATTAAAGCTGATAAGTGATTTACAAGGTTAGTGGATATAAAGTCAATATTGGCAAAAATTAATTGTAATGTTAATACCAGCAGGAAAACATTTAGTTAAATTTGAAATGCAATGCTTTCACAAGAGCATAAAAGCATGAATATGTAGGAATAAATCTCACAAATGATGTTTAAGACCTCTATCTGAAAACCATAATTATCACTGAAATGAATTAACAAAGGCCAAAGTAAATAAGGTAATATATATCTGAAGAAAATAAATCACTGTCTCAAGAAGATATCTGCACTCCCATGTTCACTGCAGCATTATTAACAATAACCAAGACATGGATACAACCTGAGTCCACTGAGAAAGAAGAGGATAAAGAAGTTCTGACACACACTCAAACTCTAAGATGAATCAGTTCTGGGCATACAGCGTGGTGACTATAGTTGAAAATACTGTGTTGTATATTTGAAAGTTGCTAACAAAGCAGGTCTTAAAAGTTCTTACCACACGCGCACGCATACACACACATATGTAACTGTAGGGCGATGGGTGTGTTAGCTAACCTTAGTTTGGTAACGATTTTGCAATGTATATGTGTATCAAAATGTCACCATGTACACTTTAAATTTTTTTTTTCAACGTTTATTTATTTTTGGGACAGAGAGAGACAGAGCATGAACGGGGGAGGGGCAGAGAGAGAGGGAGACACAGAATCGGAAACAGGCTCCAGGCTCCAGGCTCCGAGCCATCAGCCCAGAGCCCGACGCGGGGCTCGAACTCCCGGACCGCGAGATCGTGACCTGGCCAAAGTCGGACGCTTAACCGACTGCACCACCCAGGCTCCCCTAACCATGTACACTTTAAATGTAATGTTATAAGTTAAATTATATCTGAATAAACCCGGGTGGGCGGAATTCTGTCCCTTAAAGATTTGAAATAGTTACTTCTGTCCCTGAAACTTCAAAGTCAACTTTCACTACAGGGACTAATTAGATCCAGAGGTTTTCAAAGACTCTGTATCACAGCAGCTACAGTGTTGCTTACTATAAGATGTCTTTACCCACAGTGATTGCTACATGTGTGCCCAGTGCAATGGAAAAGTCTGAGAAACAGCTAAAAGCCAAGGCCATTTGAGGATTTGTGGTTGTATCATTAGTTGCTAAACATGTTTGAATCTCTATCACACTCACAGTTAGCTTTAAGCATTTCCTTCAGAAAGTTCTTCTCCATCGCTCACTGATTCCAAGCACATTTGGCTGCTGCCTGTGTAATGAATGCTATTGTTTCTTAATTTTTTCTGCTTGTTTGGTGAAACTGCTTCAAGGTTGCTGTAAAACGTTTTCTGACACTCCATTTCTGCTCTTGGTACATGACATACAGAGTCCTGTCGTAAAATTGTAAAATACTTGGTATCTGTAAGTTTTGAGGAAGCTCATGGCAGGAATTATATTGACAGCTTCAAATGTGAATTTCGAGCCCAATTCTAATTATAAATTTGACATTTTGCTGTTTTTTAAAAACTTCCTTTCTTTTGGTTTTATATTTTCATTTGACCTCCTTTTTTTTTTTTTTTTTTTTTTTTAACTCAAAGCAAATTAGTGCTGTGGTGATGTCTTCCCAGGAAGGAGACTCCCCACAGAATGCATACTGCAGCTACATCAAGCACGGCATATGAAACCACAGAAACTAGGGATACCGTTAATCTGGGTGGGAGGTCTGGCTCTAAAAAGCCAAAGAAGTCTTCTACTCTCACTTATGGTTTTATGTATCAGCATGAACCAAGAGCCAAGGTGATTTGGGTTTCTATTTTCAGTGTATAATTTGGTTCCTTGAGATGATATTGAACTACTTATATAACAAACATACAGACATTGAATCAATACAACTTTGCTATAGCTGTTGTTGCTGTGTTACTATGTTGGAAAAAAAAAGTTGTGTGTTGCAATCTTCTTTTTTTAAAGTTTATTTATTTATTTTGAGAGAGACAGAGAGAGACAGAGAGAGAGAGAATGGGCAGCAGAGGGGCAAAGAGAGGGAGAGAGAGAAATCCAAGCAGGCTCCGTGCTGTCAGTGCAGAGCCCGAGGTGGGGCTCAATCACAGGAACCAAAACATGAGAACATGACCTGAGCCAAAATCAAGAGTTAGACACTTAACTGACTGAGCCACCCAGGCGCCCCAGATTGGAATTTTCAAAAATGTAATTCTAGGGCAACAACCAGGTGACAACATCAGGCAATATTTATCAACCCCTTATTTTTATCATTGTGTTATACTATGATACAGCATGTTATCAGTACAAAATGCTTTCCCTCCGGGGTTCACACCTGACAGTGATTTCTAGGGAACCCAACAGGATTGTGTTCCACTGGCCAACTCGCAGGAGAGACCAGAAGACATCTGAAGGAAAGAATTTGAAGTATTAATTTCTAGACTAGGGAGTCTGGCAATTTGGAATACAGTGGAGTGTCTGTCTTGCTAGGGAGGAGCAGGACAGAGGGGGGAAAGGGCAGCCAGTGAAAAGGACTGCCAACCATATAAGAAAAGGTAACTTCTAAGAAATTTACCTCCTTTCCCCACTGAAATCAATTATCTGGGTGTTGATGTGAGAGACACAAAGAAGGGTCCTTTACTCACTTATGGTCCCTGAGAAGAGAGGACAGCATGGAGCAAAGCGGAACAGCAGAACATGGACGAACCTTAGAGGTCAGGGGTGGGGGGTGCAAGACCAACTGAGTCTTGGGCAGAGCATTGCAGCTCCCGGGCACTACCTCAGCAGTTAGGGCAGAAAAGGGAAGAGATCGGCTCCCTTATGCATGTGAAGTGTCTGGTGCATGGTAAAGAAAGTCGACCCAGAAAATTACTGTTTGTTGCTGTTCTTCTGTTCCTATGTTCAGTCCCAGGCCAATACGACCTGCGAAATGCAGATTACATAAAAATTGAAATACTCTCTTGAGAAAAAGAAAGGCACACCCTTCAACTTTCCCTTGGCCCATATTCCTTCCTAATTTTCCATCTTCTTAGATAATGTTTCTTATACCTGAAACATCTCTCTACTTCTCTGCTGCCCCCCACCCCATTTAATCGTATCAGTCATGGTGTAGAAGCCATGTTAAACTGAATTCTAACTCACATCCTATATCATAGTGTGGATGGTTTGAATTTATTCTTTCATCTGCTTCCCTTATTTGTGTTTCTTTTCCTGGTCAATTTTATCCGTCTGTCAGGTCACCTAATGTAAGGCCTTTGGAGCCACCCCAACTCCTCTTTCAGCCTCACTCTCATTCTGCACATTGCACATTTCCTCTGCTCTCTCACTGGGCTGTACTCCACTCTCAGGCCCTCACAGCCAGCCACACACAGCTCTGCCCTAAACTGCTAACACAGCTTCCTACCTGCAGCCACTATCCCCTCTTCTGTCCTCTGGGAGCTACCAGAATTATGTCTGCAGAATGCAAATCAGATTATGTCATTTCTTTATTTTTTTTTAAAGTTTATTTATTTATTTTGAGAGAGAGAGAGAGAGAGAGAGAGAGAGAAAACATGAGCAGGGGAGGGGCAGAAAGAGAGGAAGAGACAGAGACTCCCAAGCATGCTCCGTGCTGTCAGCGCAAAGCCCCACACAGGGCTTGAATCCACAAACCATGAAATCATGACCTGATCCAAAATCAAGAGTCAGACGCTTAACTGACCGAGCCACCCAGGTGCCCCAAATTATGTCATTTCTTTAACTTAAAATTGCCCATGCTTCTACAAAGAACACACTAGATGTTTTTTAAACTGGGAGTGGGGGGATAAAGAGATGCATGATGGCTTTCAAGGAGGTCTAAGAACCCTCTGACACTGCACTCAAGGACTTGTTTTATGAGCATGACGTATGCTTGTCACTAAGTGTCAGCAGATTTCAACAGACCCTCAAAAGTGTCTGTGCTGTGACATGGCCTGTGCTCACCACCAGGTCAACCAAAGCAGGTTCAGGGCAATGCAAGGGGAAGGAGCACACAGTGCTGAGGGTACCATTGAGTTCCAGAGTCAGACAGTCCTGGGTTCAGTCACCTTGCTGGCTGATCTGGCACATGGGGTAATATCCCTCTTCTCATAGAACTGTTTTAGATATTAACTTTAATAACGATGTAAGGTAACTGGGAAATAATAGACACTCAGCAAATTGTTGCTTCTACACCATAAATCTTCGGATGTCCAAAGACAAAATATTTGTAAGAACACTACTCTCAACCTCCCTAGCAATAAATCCCTCCTTTATCAGTTGGTGATTTTTGCTTCAAGTCATAAAAGTCCATATCAAATTGGCTACATCATTTAAGGGAATATATTACCTCATGTGGCTCAAAAAGGCTCAGAGAGAGAGTATGCTTCAGGTGCACTTTGTACGAGACTCCACCTCCAGTGTTCTCTTCTACTTGGCTCTGTTCTTCCCTGTGCATCAGATTCTTCTTCGGGCCAGTTTTCCTCGTGGTGACAAAGTGACTACAGCAACTCCAGCCCTCACAACTGCACTTCACACCATCTAGAACAATTAACAGTATTTGCATCCGGGAATTCCCAGCCAAAGTCCGAGATTCCTTCTACTCGGACTGAGATGCCCTCACTGGCCCACCCTGAGTCCACCTCTACCCCTGAGGTTACATCTTTTGCCATAAGCATCTCTCGAGCCAGCTGAATCCACAAAGGGAATTCGGGGCCATTGTGAAGAACAATATTTACAAAATTTAACAATCCATATGACGCAAACAACTAATCTGAACACATACCAGCCCATTCAGAACAGATGTCAGTTGGAAAACAACTGGTATTTCTGGACTGGTGCTCAGAACTGAGTCTCAACTCTGCCTCGGGGGAGGAAAAAGATGTTGGCACCTCTCAGGGATCCTGTGCATACCTACTCAAGAATGAGCTAATCTTCATCATTCTTCACATCGTGCTTTGCAGCTAGAAAATCAGGATTCAGCTTGTGCTACCTGCTAATGGGCTTTGCCTAGAAAACAAGGTAGGAAGAGAGAAAAAAGGCAGTTATGACATCTCCTATTCTCTATAAAGAAATAAATCCACTGGAGAGGAAAAAAAACCCCTCTTAACTCTAAAAATGTTTCTAAAAAGTTCTACTTTAACACTTTGGGTTGGTAATTTATACCACTCTCATACACAGAAACACTTAGAAATGCATTACTTCCTTTTAATCATTTCAAGTCATTTTCAAAAGTTTAGCAATCCCGAATCAATTTTTAGTCTACGATAGGAAGACCAATTAACACTGTTTGCTATTGTTTAGTTTCATTTCATATGAAATTATTCACAAATCGTTTCTCGAATCCAACCCAGGAATTCAAACTGTGAGCACAAAACAGAGCCTCACATTATGGAGAAACATAACTGGGCAACTTTGCTTCTCCTTTGCCTCTGAATTCTGCTTTTCTCAGATATGGGTCTGGAAACTTTCCAGATGCCAACAGGGTGGGGGAGTTGTAACACCGGCTTGGCATGTGAAGCACACCACAGATTCTTCAGCAAAACGTCAGAGTAATGATGTGAATGTGCTGGAATGTGGGGGGGAGAGTGGCAGCTGGTCTTTAATCTCAGGTAGTATTTTCTTTTGAAAAATCAAATTAAAAAGAGAATGTGTGCCCAGATTAGCTGGTTTGAAAACCCTTGGTTTATGTGAAAGTAGGAAGTAGCTTTAACATGTCTCAAAGGCAAGGATAAATCGGTTACTATTCTGTTTGTTGTAGTCAAAGGAGGCAGTTACCGTGGAGGACTTCCACAAGAATAACTTATTTTAGAACTTCACATGAAATATATGAGGAACACGTGTCATGGTCCCGTTTCACTCATTCATTTATTTGCTCATGCATTCCATTCAAGAAATGGCTGCTGAACCAAGAACACTTGGTTGTCGGGCAATGTTCTAACTCCTTCAAGGACAGAATACAACCAAATAGGCTAAGTCCTTGCTCTCTTGGAGCCTGTATCCCAGCGCAAGGCGGACGAAAGAACAAATAAATTTTAAAATAGCAAACAAATAAGCACAAAATATATAGAATGGTGATAATGATATGAAAAAGATCAATAGAGTTACTGAATGGAGAGAGGGGTCGGTGGTGAGGTGATACGTGTAGGAGGTCAGGGAAGACCTTGCCTTTGGGTAGAGAATCATGAATGAGTAAGAGAACAAGCCTGCAATATCTGGGCTAGAGTGTTCCAGGCCACAAGAACAGACAGCATGCACAAACCACACAGAGAAGCCTCCCAACACCCCTGTGACATGGGTAGGGCAGGTAATTGAGCCTTGGAGACCCGAGGAAACTGGGATTCAGAGCACTACATAGCAGACCCAGAAATGGAGCTCATCAGTTCAAACTCCCAATCTTTTGTTCTAGAAAGATCAAGCGCTACTTAAGTGCTTTCCGAGCTTTTCAGAGTCGCTTTTTAATTGAGACAGTTTCCTCGAATAAAAATTTAAGTGGAATCTCAATTTGTGAAATGGATAAAAATGTAACCCCTAGGGAAGAAGTGAACAGGAAGTGTTTGCTCATGCCTCATGCCCAGCCCTGGCCCCAGCCCGGGAGGCCTTTCCTCTGAGGATCCTGGGCATCTCCTGCAGGCTCCTTGCACCTCCCTCGGTGCTCCTGACACAACCCTCCGTGCCTGGGGGAAAGAATGCGTGAGAGTGGCTAGTGAAGGATACAGAAGGAAAAACAAATAAACAAGGCATATTACGCCAAGACCAATCGTCTCCATCTGCTTGCAGACCTGCAGAAAATGGCCTTTTATTTTTTTCAAGATCCAATACAAAGTTTCCTCAGTTTTGCAGGGAGGCAGCATTTGATATCTATTTCTCCACCACAAATTACTCCCAAACTTAGTGATTTAATGCATCAAATAGTTATTATGTCTCAGTTTCTGTGGGTCAGGAATCTGGGCACAGTTTATCTGGATCCTCTGACTAACGCCTTCCATGAAGCTAGGATTAATGTGTTGTCATGTCATTTGGGCAGCAGGGATCTCAGAGCTCTGCTGGAGGAGGATCCGCTTCCAGACTCATTCGTGTGCTTGTGCTAAGGTTGAATTTTGTGCAGGTTGTTGGACTGAGGGCCTTAGTGTCTTGCTAGCTGTTGGCTGGAAGCCCTTAGTATCTCGTCACCTGGGTCACTCACTGCACAGGATAGCTCACTCCATACGGCAAGCAGCTGGTTTCGCTCAGAGCGAGAGAGCAGACAGAGAGAGTAGACAAAAGGAAGTCAGAGTGTTTGTGTAGCCTCACTTCCAAGGGGACATCCCACCACTTCGCTTATTTTACTCATTAAAAGGGGATCACTGGGCTCAGGCTTCACTCAAGAAGAAAGATTACACAAAGGCGTGAATTCCAGGAGGCAGGGATCTTTGGGGGACATTTTTGAGGCTCCCTACTACAAGAAGGAAAACATAAATTCACATAATCATTAAATGGTTAATATATGCAATAAACTTTTAGTCTTTTTATACATTTTACCTTTTTACCTTGCTTTACAACAACCTAAAATAGGTATGTTGGTGTTTCTTTCATCAGTCGTTTTTAATATGGTGTCCTTGTTCTGTATGCCTTTTTTTTTTTTTACTCTATGCTAGTAAATAAAACTTCTTTTTGAAAAGACGCTATTCAGAAATTTCTTGCTTACATGATTAGTTATAATTCCACTTCAGTACAGATAGAAACCTTCATTATAGATATTATTAAAATTCTTGACATCTTTTCTAGAAGTACAAGGAAAACCTCAGTAAATGCCCTCAAAAGTACTCACAAGCAAGTTTTGTGGACGAGCTAAAAAATATCCTGGACTATTTCTGTGTTTAATTATCTATGTCATCAATTAGTCTTTCTAAAGTTACCTATAGAATGATGAAGTTGAGTATATTGAAGAAGTTTGTCCACCTGTCTGCATTCTTCAACAAACTTTGAAGCAGCTTTTTTTTAAATTTTTCTTAATGTTTACTTATTTTGAGGGAGAGACAGAGTGCGAGCACGGGTGGGTGGAGAGAGATAGGGGACACAGAGTCTGAAGCAGGCTATAAGCTCTGAGCTGTCAGCACAGAGCCTGATGCAGGGCTCAAACTCACGAACCACAAGATCGTGACCTGAGCCGAAGTTGGACGCTTAACCAACTGAGCCACCCAGGCGCCCCACCAAACTGTAAGCTTCTGGAGGGACCACTCTTTATATACACAGTGCCTGGCACACACAAGTGCTCTGCAAACATATGCTGAATGAGTGACCAGCAGTGACTTCACAGGGAACCACAAGAAAACTCTGCCAAAATAGCCATATCTAACTAATTAAAATAATTAACAGTCTTTATGTGATAACATCCTTCAGGGAAGAATTCAAGAATTTATATAGCAGATAACAGTTCTAAAGGATCCTAGACATCAGATATCAGCTCCTCCAGTTGGTCCAAAAATACAGGTGAAGAGCTCAGTCAATATAGTCCAGAAGTTACTCTAATGAGTGACATGTATTCTGTGACTCGGCACTTAAAATAGATTGTGAAGACATCAAGAAGGCAGAGTAGAGAGCCTTCCGTCCAACTGCAGCAGAAGCATTTTTAAACAATTTTACGTACTTTATTTACTATTCGTGTTATGGGGATTGAGTGGGATTGGGTGGAGATCCAAGATTAGGTTCCATCTAGATGGCAGTGCTCTTAAAATGTGAGAGGTGGTCAAGGAAGAGGAAATCAAGGGTGGGGAGGTTTAAGGAACTAAAAGAGATGCTGGAGCCAGTGTTTCAGTCCAATCAGCAGCAAATTTTCTGTTCTTTCCTCCTCTCTTTCCTGGTTCATTAGAGAGGGCTGGGCAAGGGAACCATACCTGGTTTTTAGCCTCCCAAGTCTCAGATCCTATTTATTATCCTGAGACACTAGCTTCTCTCAGGTTCTTGCTAGGTATTCCCTCTACCTTTACTTTACATTAAAAAAAATTGCGAGGAGGTGGATTTTTGAACTAGCGGAGATGACCATCAATGGCTAAGCTTGGCTTTGCCCTCCAACCACCACTGGCCTCCTTGCTCCTGCTGTGACCCACCTGCCACACACAGGATTTACCCTGAGGCACACCAGTAGTTAAGTTAGGGCTACAAGATTTTTTCTTTTGTTTTGTTTTGCTTTGTTTTTGCTTTTGTTTTTTAGCAACGATTTTTTACAAAAATAATTTTGAAGCAATCAAATGCAATACACTGCAATGACCTCTGTTTCACAAAGCTTTATCTAACAAACCCCCAGCTGATTTAAATGACCCTCTTCTTTATGCCTTTCCTGCCCTGCGTATCTCTATCCCAGTACTCACCATATTGTACTGTCATCCCTGATTTACTTGTTCCTCTCCCGACTAGGCTGGGACCTTTAGGATCATGGCATATTAGAAATGCTGGATGCCACAAGCTCTTAATATTATTTGACTAAAATAGTAAAATAAGAGAGTGAAAGAAATGAGGATTTAATTAGAGGCATCTTTCTTTTTCATTCTAAATCTGTCTATCAACTAAGCTGACTGGGAAAGAGGTAGACGAGAACTTCTGGATGGTCTCTTACTTTAACAAAGTGTTAAGAAGCAACTTCTTCCAACCCCAGCACCACTACCACCAGGCAGGTTTTGTAGGAAGGTTCAAACCCATCACTTTGGAAGCTGTGTGCATTTTGATGAACTGTTATTTGGGCTGAGATTGAATGCAAACTGACCTCCCTGAGCCAACGTAACTGTCACTGTTTATTATCTTATAGAAGGGATTGCATAGTATTTACATTATATAGTATTTACAGTATTACATTCATAGCACTTAAGAAAACTTTGGTGCAAGGCATGGTTTCTCCACTTGGAGTCATGTAATCTTGGTCAGACTATTTAACTGCCTGAGTTTCTCCATTTGTGCAATGGAGGTAACAATAACAATAAGAAGAAATAATATCAACAAACACAGCAACACTTGCTTCTCCCTTGTGATGCAGTTGTGA